GTATCTCGACAACGGAGCATCGAATCACATGACCGGTAATCAAGCTTACTTCTTTGAACTTAATGAACGTGTCACGGGAAAGGTGAAGTTTGGAGATGGATCTTGTATTGACATACGAGGAAAGGGATCTGTATTACTTGAAGGGAAAACAGGGGAGCAGCGCCTGTTGACCGATGTGTACTACATACCCAGCCTACAAAGCAACATCATAAGCCTTGGTCAAACAACGGAAGGTGGATGCAACATTCACATGAAGTGCGACTTGCTAACCATTCATGATGACACGGGGAAGCTTATGATGAAGGTGACGAGGACCAAGAATCGTTTGTACAAGATCAATCTCAAGATATCAAGTCCCAGTACACAAGTTAGCATGATTGGAATGAAGAATTTTGTGGGTAGGGATCTACAAAGAGTTGATCAACTGAAAGAAGGTACGCGAAGTACGAGTCAGAATCTTCTTGGAGATCCATGTTTAATGGAGAAACCCAAAATTCAAAGTCCAAAGAAGAATGTTCAAGAGTTTAAAGGAGATGTCAAGAAAAGGATTCTAACCCAAGGAAGAACGTGTAATGATCGCAAGGAGCAAGTGTTTGTTCAAGCTAAGTGGAGCCCGAAGAACACTTCAAGGGATCATGAAGAGCCTCGGGAGAATCAAGATAAAGAAGACATGCTTGGATATGAAGATCACCCGCAATCCAACTCGGAAATTAGGGGGGTGATTGTTGACTAATTATCGAGTAGGATTAGGATTACCCGAGATATTCTAGTTCAAGTAGGAATAGAATTATGGTTCCTAGATTACTTGTTGGCCAAGTTGGGTTAACACTATATATATCATAGCCAAGCCTTGGGTTTTGATATGAGAGCCATATGAGAAACGTATGAGAGTTTATTGTAATTGGTTTTGAGTTATTTTCCAGTTGTAATAAAGAGATTGTTTCCAACAGTATTGATGCAATAAACTCCACATTAGAATCCTCTAATCCAATCAAAGAAATCAAGAGTGAAGAATAAAATAAAGTATTGAGATTTTTTTATTTAATCAAAGAGAATATTTAAAGTACGATGACTATAAGCATGAGATCTCATCCCAACATACTCATATTAGTTTGTCTTAGGGAAATAGGCGTAAAATCAAACCTTGTTGGACATAGTTGGATCAATGATAGGACATGTGACTCTTTCAGTAAGCCTTTATGGTTATGATTTCAAACTACAACTACGCCATTAAACTTTCGTTGAGAAGACACGCCAAAGAGAGTTAATAACTCAAGTTTCATGAATGTAGAGCTCTGGTAGTTAAGTTTTGTGAGATGTCTTAGGACATCAAGAAATTTACCTAAATTTTAGTGACTATTGTTCACATTCCTTATTTGTTGTCAAAAAATAAAGTTACATTTCTTTTATGGAATGGAATGGGTGGTACACAACATTTTTCTCTTCACTACATAAATCTCAATCAAATATTTTTACTTTTTATGACCTACATCGAAGCTAAACCCGAGAAGTTCGTTTTTGAACGTAAGGAGTTTTCAACATAATTAATTTTATTTTACTATTTTTTAAGTCAATAACATTAAAAAAAATCTGTAACAATTTTTAAGGCAATGTTTTATGCACCTGATCTGAATCTAATAAGTTATCTGATCTCAATATAGTTATATTTAAAACTATTTCTGATCTGACTCTAATATGAATAAGTATAAGAAAAGTAATGCTCAATAATAATAAGTATTATCTCTGTCCCAGAGTGTTCGTCCAGTTTGACTTTTCCGAGTGAAATTGGATGAATTTTGAGCCTTAATAAAGTAAAAACTATAATGTGTATTAGTATAAAAATGATTTTAATATATTTAAAACAGATAAACCTTCTACCTCGACATCTAAATTTAAAGAGTGTTTCTTTGGTACACCTTGAGTACATATCATTTTTGTGGACCTTCTCACATAAAATTTTTTTTTTAATTTTTTTAATTAAAAAAATAGAGAGTTATTTAAGTAATAAGAAAATACTTAGTTTTTTGACTTTTCTCATATGTAAGTCCATGGTGGACCTTAGATCCACCATAGAATTTTCCAAATTTAAAATATATCGAGTGTGTCCACCATATTAATTTACGTGGTATTTGCTTACATTGTTTATAATATCTTATACATATAATTAGTTAATACACAAAGGTAATTGTTGTATTATCATCTTTAAAAAACTTAAAAGCATGTGTTATAGAAGATAAATCAATTCTCTTTTGTCTCTTATGCACTTGAAAGCGCGATGAAGTGTATATATAAATATTTCTTGATTGAAGCATTGTATAGATAACATCTTGGGGAAAAATTACTCAAAAAATTAAATATTTAATTCGGAATAATAAAAATACCATTTGTCACATCACAGAGTACATTCTTTCTCGAACGTGTTTGATCATGCGAGAGTACTATAGCCGATGACGATCACTCTCTTTATGTATCCGTAATAACCATCATAAAATAGATACTGTAAATATTTTTATCTAAAAACTTTAAAATGAAAAATTTCTATTATCCAGTAATATTATTTGTCACCTTGTGGTTGATGGTCGGATGAATAAATAAGCAAGAGTATTACTTATTTATATTGTTTTGACAAAGATGTAGAAATAAACATATTTTCTATTTTTAAGAATTTTATTTGATAGTAATTACACTTATAATAATTAATATTATACCATAAGTATTTCGATTAAGAACACCAATTAATAATTAATTTCTTACACATAAATACCCTCGTACCAAGTCTTCATCATTTTACAAAGTTATTAATGGGAAATAGTAATTTTGTGACATGAGTTTATAAATTTTTACAAAGTTAGTAATAGAAAATAATAATTTAAAAATAGAAAATACTAATTTTAAAATAGAACATACTTGTTATTTGACTTAGAATTCTTTTAATATATATTGAATATCTCCATATATATTAACTCTTTTATATATTTATTTAGTATATGGAAAATACTAACTCTTTTATATATTTAATTCTATTTTTTCAAAAAAGGGAAGATCTCTCCAATTAGTATTAATTCAAAGTAATAACAAATATTCACATGTAATTTCCTTTAGTTCTATCAATCTATCCGTTCTTAGAATAACTTTATTTATTTTGATTATTGTTTTTGAATATGACTTCTTTTTTTTCAATTTCAAAATATATTATTTAACTTAAATATTTTCCAACAATGAATTAAGATATAAAAATTTTCAAACGCAATTATGCTGAGGAATTTGTGTGTAACCAATACAAAACTTAATTTTCATAGAATATTTTTTTTTGTTAACTAATTCTTTAAATATCCCTTAATGACATGGAGTGCTAACATGTCAAAAAATTGCATAGTAAGCGTGCCACATGTCAATATTGCCATGTTATTAAAGTCATCAAAGGTGGCGGATGATTTGTAAAAAAATTACCAAGTAGACCTACTACGTGTCGCGATACCGGAAGTCAATTCTCAAATTTTATATATAAAGATAAAGATACTAACATGAAGACAAAATATTTATATATTTTTTATCCTTTATATATATAAAGTAGACTCTTACCTCTAGGAGCACAACATGTGACATATTTGTGATACTTAAGCTTATACCCAGTTAATGGATTGGATAAAAAATAAATTTTGTATCTAAGAAGAAATATTATAAAAAAGGAATTATAATCCAAAAAACTAATAAAAAAATTATTTTCTAATTTAATAATTTTTTACTTCATTATATTATAGCTTTCAATTCATAATTAAGATACTTTGTTCACCTTTAAATACATTCAATATTTTATGATAACCATAAATATAGTTAGTTTTTAAACTATTTACTTAAAATATTGATATAAACTAAAAAATATTCTCTACATCAAAATTCTATAAAACAAGAAACAATTGTACTATTTTTAGAATGATCAAATATATAAATCAAATAAATGGAAAAAAATATTTAATTTGATTTGGTGAATAATTTATTATATTTGTATTACTAACATAAAGATAAAATATTTGTATATTTATGTTCAAACAAAGTAATAGAAGAGATTATTTTATGATTCTTGACATTGTTTATAAATGAACAAATAAATTGCCACATAATTAACCAAATAAAAGTTAAAAAATAATTTTAACTCTTTTATATAAGATAGAAATGTAAAAAACAATAACATACTCAGAGTAAATACATACTAAAATAGATACTTGATGACATTTAACATAAAAATATAATGATTAATATTTACACGGTTAATTTCAAATCTTCATTTTAGAAGTAGTTCCGAGTGAAAACATCACTACCCAACACAAGCTGCTGGTGATGGATGTCATGATCAGATGGGTGAAACATAGGAGAGCTTCGAGTGGCAACGCACAAATCCGGTGGAGGAGACTAAGTGGGGAGAATATTAGGTGTGAGCTCTGGCTCTAGGAGTAGGCGTCAGGGTGATTGGTGGTGGAGCGATTCAGTCCGAAGTAAGGTGGATGTAACACCCCGGCCCCCACCTTGGCCGCAAGTGTTCGCTCATAGGATTGTAGACTGACCCCACAAACCAACACAAGCCTTTCCCGCGCACTATGTCCTCACTCGTGCGCGCCCAAGGAATTTCACTGGGGGTCACCCATCCTAAAATTGCTCCAGGTCAAGCACGCTTAACTTTGAAGTTTCTAGGTGATGAGCTCCCGAAAAGAAGATGCACCTTGTTGGTATGAGTAGTACTATCAATCCCTTTTGAGCCCTTCCATTCCCATTTTGATACAGGGTATTACATTCACCCCCACTTAGGAATGCAACGTCCTCGTTGCATCCTATTTTTTTTAAACCCATAGATCTTCCCCGCTAGGTGAACTAAGCTCTTTTTGGCTCGTCACGGTCGCAGGGTTGCTCTGATACCATTTGTAACACCCCGGCCCCCACCCTGGCCGTAAGTGTTCGCTCATAGGATTGTAGACTGACCCCACAAACCAACACAAGCCTTTCCCCGCGCACTTTGTCCTCACTCTTGCACGCCCAAGGAATTTCCCAAGGGGTCACCCATCCTAAAATTGCTCAAGGTCAAGCACGCTTAACTTTGAAGTTTCTAGGTGATGAGCTCCCGAAAAGAAGATGCACCTTGTTGGTATGAGTAGTACTATCAATCTCTTTTGAGCCCTTCCATTCCCATCTTGATACGGGGTATTACAGTGGAAGCTAAGAAGGTGGCATATTTGAGGTACATGGGCTGTAATGTTGAGGAAGAAAGAACGGCGTTACGAGTGGAGTACAAGAAGGTACGTAAAGAAGCCAAGTTAGAGGTTACGAGGGCAAAGAATTCCGCTTTTGAACGCCTCTACAAGGATACCGAGGAGAAAGGCGGTGTTAATACACTGTTCCGGCTTGCTAAGGTGCGTGAGAGGAAGGCCCGAGATCTGGACCACGTGAGATGCGTGAAGGGGAGCGATGGTAGAGTGTTAGTTGAGACTGCCAAAGTGGCTAAGCGCTGGGGGGAGTACTTTTGTGAACTCTTAAATGCGGGAGGAGACCAAAGGCTAGTTCTTGATGAGCTGGGGCAGTCCGGGGAGTCTCGTGTGTATTGTCAGTGCATTTGCCTGGGAGAGGTGGTTCGGGCACTCCGAGGGATGCGTAGTGGGAGAGCTTTGGGATCAGATGAGATTCCGGTGGAGTTTTGGAAGCATGCGGGCCGTGGTGCGTGGGTTTGGTTAACCAAACTCTTTAATGTTATCTTTCGGACATCAAGGATGCCTGATGAGTAGAGGGAGAGTCTCTTGGTCCCCTTGTTTAATGGTAAAGCTGACATTCAGAGCTGCGAGAATTACAGAGGCATCAAACTGCTTAGCCACACCATGAAGGTTTGGGAGTGAGTCATTGAGTATAGAGTGCGGAAAGGGGTATGCATCTCTGAGAACCAGTTTGGTTTCATGCCTCGCAGATCGACTATAGAGGCCATTCACCTCGTGAGGAGGTTAATGGAAGAGTATAGGGCTAGAAAGAAGGACCTTCATATGGTGTTTATTGATCTTGAGAAGGCGTACGATAGGGTGCCAAGGGAGGTCTTATGGAGGTGCCTTGAGACGAGAAGAGTTCCCATCGCGTACACTCGCGCGTTCAAGGATAAGTACGATGGGGCTATGACTAATGTAAGGACCTCCGGGGCGACTCTGAGGCATTCTCAGTAGGGATGAGGTTGCACCAGGGGTCTGCCCTTAGCCCTTTTTTGTTCGCCTTGGTGATGGACGTCCTAACTCAAGGTGTTCAAGAAGGGGTCCCATGGTGCATGCTTTTTGCGGATGATATTGTGCTTATCGACGACACACGTCAGAGACTAAACGATAAGTTGGAACGATGGCGCCTTGCCCTTGAGACTAAAGGATTCAGGATAAGTAGGAACAAGACTGAATACATGGAATGTCGTTTCAGCGGCCGGGAAATAGAATCAGAAGTGGAAGTTAAGATTGACTCTCACGTAGTACCTAAGGTCGATAGGTTCTGATATCTTGGCTCGGTAATCCAGGCGGATGGGGAGTTAGACGGGGATGTTGGACATCGTGTTGGAGTGGCTTGGGCCAAATGGCGGTTGGCCTCAGGGGTGTTGTGTGACCCGAAGATTTCGCCCAGGATGAAAGGTAAGTTCTACCGATCCGTAGTCAGGCCTGCTATGTTATACGAGGCAGAGTGTTGGGCGGTTAAGAAGACTCATGTGCGTCGGCTGCATGCGGCGGAGATGCGAATGTTACGATGGATGTGTGGGAAGACAAGGTTGGATAGGATTTCGAACGAAGTTATCCAACGTCAGGTAGGCATGGCGCCGGTGGAAGATAAGTTGCGGGAAGCGAGGTTGAGATGGTTTGGGCATGTGAGACGGCGGGATGCTGATGCCCCTGTACGGAGGTGCGCGAGGATCACGGTTATCGGGGGAAGTAGGGGAAGGGGTAGACCTAGGAAGAATTGGAAGGAGGTGATTAGAAAGAAAATCAGACTTCTCACCCTGACTAAGGATATGACTTTAGATAGGAACCTTTGGAGGACTAGGATTAAAGTAGCTGGTTAGGAGCTCGGTGCTGTAGAGGTTTTTTTGTAGTGTGTTGTGTTTGATTGGAATCTTCTACTTTTTCTTGCTGGATTTTCATTTCATTGTACTTGGTGCTTTATCCTGTTATATCTTGTTATCCTGTTATATTGTGTTCTCTACCATATTGTTTGTGCAGGTTGAGCCGGGGGTCTCTTGGAAACAGCCTCCCTACTTTCGAGTAGGGGCAAGGTCTGCGTACACACACCCTCCCAAGACCCTACTGTAATGGGATTCAACTGGGTTGTTGTTGTTGTTGTTGTTTTTAGTGATCCATTCTTTAGGAGGTAGGCAGAGGAAAGGGGGGTGGGAGGGGGGATGGGGGACGGGTGGGAGAAATGAATTCGATCAAGGATTCAGAGTATCAGAAGGATTGAGTAAAAAACAAACTTTCATCCAAAATAAACAGAAGTTAATTTCTCATCTTAGAGAAATTATTTTTCTAAAATAAGATTTCCAACTAGTTTTGTAACATAACATGGAAAAGTAGAGATGGAATTTTGTGGAAAAATATTTTTTTAACTAAGTAGATCATAAGAATTAGAAACTTAAAGAACATAATCTTAAGAAATTGAAGAAAATTTTTAAAAATGACAAATTTTGTTCAGCCTGGTGCTGCAACCCCGTGCGTACTAGTCAGTAATATACTCCCTCCGTCCCTGAAAACCTTTCTCCTTTCTTTTTTCATCCATCCCAAAAAACAGTTCTCATTTCTATTAAAAAGTTACTTTTACCCCTTACTTTTTCATATCCTACCTATCACATCATACCTTTTTACTAATAATCTATCCATCAAATCATACTTTTACCCATCACATCAAAAGACATTTTTGGAAATTCAATACCAAAATACACTCCCCTTAAATTCCTCTTCAAAATTTAAACTCCTATGTTTTCCGGGACGGAGGGAGTAAATGATAGAACGATGGGGTTCTAGTGACACCGGGGTGCAAGGGGGGGCATACAACGGGGTTGGGGTGGGGGTGCAAGGGCGGGGATAGGATGGGGGGTTTAGGGACTGGGTTAGAGGGGGATCGTCAATTTTACAAACGGAGCACCGGAAGTGTTCCAAACTGACAGTGGCACCAGAGTATCACCCTACTCCGGTGTCACTAGAACCCATGATAGATTGATGGAAAATGCTAGGGTGCCACCACATGGGTGCCACCACATGGGTGCACCCATGCTTCGCACAGACAAACACAGACGATAATTGTCTGTGTCGCACAGACAATTATCGTCTGTGTTTGTCTGTGCGAAAAATGGGTGCACCCATGGTAGCACCCATGTGGTGGCACACTAGCATGATCCTAGATTGATAGAATACGTCTAAAAATTGGATCATGCTAGGGTGCCACTACATTGGTGTTACCATGGGTGCATCCATGCTTCGCACAGACAAACACAGACGATAATTGTCTGTGACACAGACAATTATCGTCTGTGTTTATCTGTGCGAAGCATGAGTGGGTTGCACCCTAGCATTTTCCCTACATAACTCCATTCGAATGAGATGGACCTAACAAAAAAATTCACTCAAAATACGTCTATCTAATGCGGAGTACTCCTTATTCCTTAATCCGCTAATCCAGATCGACCCCCTCACATCATCTTCAGGCTTCTTGGCCTCTGCAATCTAGAGTTGCCTTTCCACTTTCGTAAGGTCTAATTTCTACCGTTAGGCGTTCGGCATTCCAACGGATCGGAATCATCTTTCATCAGACTTCTACATCCACGCTGCCACGCCTCCACGGCCTTCCTTATTAGAGAGTTGAGGGCTGCCGGCTTCAACCGTTCAGCGCCAACATGCCTCCGCCCTCTGACCGCGACGATTGACGACTAGGCGACTGGCGGTGGCGACGTCACTCCGATCAAGTGAGATTCATTTTTTACTTTTTGATATTTTAGTTATTTTTATTGAATTATTTGATTTGTTTCTACTTGATTTGCTCTAATTCTGAATTTTGTTGTATCTTTCTGTCTAGGTTAATTTTAGACTGTATTAATTGAAAATTGAAGCAACTCAAGCAAATGTGGAGGAACGATTTTCTCAAAATCAAGTTGTATTGTTCAATTTTAGATAATTTGGTTTTATTAAATTTAATCTTAGATAAATGTAATTGAATAATTATTTTTTAAAAACATGAATTTAGATGTGAAAAATGTCAACAAAAAAAGATAAATGAATTAAGTAGTAACCCAATTTCAAAGAGGGGCACTAGATAATTTTTTTATATCAAAGAATCACATGTTATTTTTGAAAATGACGTTATTGAAAAGTTAGTGATGCTAATGTGGCTGCTGTCGGTGATACTAATTTGGTTATGGAAAATGAAGCTTTTGGAAATGTTGTGGAAGAACTTTTCAAGTGATCAATTTGTAAGTTCATATTTTAGGTCTTTAATGTTTATTAATATTAATAAACAACAATGCAATATAATTTTATTGAGGGTCCATATTATGACTTTAGTTCTGGGCCTATAAAATTCGTGAGACGGCCATGATTCCATGAATTTAGAATGATTATTAATGGGAAGATCTCTGTCTTTCTTTCCTATTCTGTGGAGCTTTTCTTGAAATTTCATCAAAGTTTTGAAGTTATTTTCCAGATGGCGTCCGTCATAGCTAGGTTTCTGTTCCCCCCAGTAGCACCTGTCTAATGAAGACAGCCATGTTTTAGACTTAATTGGTTGCATGCTCTTTCTTTCTTTTATTGGGAAGATGAAATTTTTCGATAAATCCTGCAAAGGCCACTGGTGGAAGCTCAGAATATTCTAGCTCTTTAGTTGATTCCAAAGCAATACAAGATGTCTGGGATAAATACGAAGACCGTATTGCTTTGATTGGGTTAGGAATTGCTGGTGTTCTTTGTCTTTGGGCATCAGAAAATCTGGCTGTTGACCTACATCCTTTGTTCCTAAGTGTTCCAGAATTTGTAGGGATATTGTTTTCCTCTTGGTTTGTATATTGCTCTCTTGTTCAAACCTGATAAAGAAGTGTTTTTCCAATCAGTGGATAAATAAATTATGGTAGGCATTGTTTTTTTTGCTTAAATTTTAGTTTTTTCCTTTTTCAAAAATTCTCCTAATGGAACCATCAACTTTATTTTTCTATTGTTCATATCTGCATCTACATCGTGGAATTTTTTTATTATAGAGTAATTTTAATGATGGTGTACATTTATAATACTTCCACTCCAAACATTTACTTTACCAAGACTTTATTTGTAGTTGACATGAATTTGGTTGTATTATTATGTATCACTTATTAAGTTTGATGATCCCTTGTTTGCATGTTTGGAAATTTATAAATGCGTATCATGAGACATATTTTTATGTTTACTGGTTAGGAACCGTTTAATTCATGAACGTCCATGTATATGTATGCCAAACATTTAAAAAATATACTATTACTAACTAGGATCTCTGGCACAGAATTTGCACTGTGGCACATTTGAACAATCAAGCTCATAGGAGGTCGGAGGATAATCGAACTACTATAAATAGCTATTGCTTGTTCTGTTGGATCTACTCGAGCTTTCTTGGAGATTCAACTTTGACCCAATCATGAATCCCTTCTCATCCGGCACCCGTCTTAGGTCAGTTTATCGATCTAAATTGTTGAAAATGAAACAGTTGCACCCAATTTGATGTTTCTAATATCAAAATCCACTTCTCTGGGGTCAAAAATGCAAGAGAGAAAACAATCACTAGCAATATTATTCATGATTAATGAAGCTGCATTTGTAGCCGTATTGGGGGGTTTTCATCATGGAATGTCTTTGATCTTTACAGAACAATTCTGAATTTTAGATTCTGAGTTACGTAATTTTTTCGAATGGAATATCCAAATGGAATTGCATTACGGAAATATCTGAATGGAATTGCATTTTTCTGATCACTGAAAATTTTCATACCTAATGTGATTAGGATGTGATTTGAATATATGGGCTTTATTCCTCTATTATAATGCTTCAGAGGTTACATACAGTTGGATTGAACTCTATATACTGATTTTTACAGTTATGCACCCATTCTATCAGTTAACATGGAATTTTTCGTTATTTATGTACTAATTTACAAATGAAAAGGAGATCTAGTTATGAAGTTCTGATTACTGCAGGGACATGATTCGTGCCATACGTGCATGTAAAACTGCAGCGGAAGAGCGTGCTGTAGTTAGAAAGGAGTGTGCGGCAATTCGAGCAGCAATCAGTGAAAATGATCAAGATTATATGCATCGCAATCTTGCAAAGCTCATGTTCATTCACATGCTAGGCTATCCCACACACTTCGGTCAAATGGAATGTCTGAAATTAATTGCATCTCCAGGATTCCCTGAGAAAAGAATAGGATATCTTGGCCTTATGTTGCTTCTTGATGAAAGGCAAGAAGTTCTAATGTTGGTCACCAACTCGATAAAACAGTATCCTGTCTGGAATTATTTTAGTTTTATTATGTACTTTGCATAACTCATGTTATAGTATCAAAGAGAAGGAATATACGATAAGTAGAAAAATTTAAATCAAATTTTATGAAGTGACAATTTCCAAATAATTGCTTGGTGGAGAATATAAATCATATTGTGTGCATATTCCTTTACTTGAAAATAGAGATCTTAATCACACAAATCAATATATTGTTGGACTAGCTCTTTGTGCACTGGGAAATATCTGCTCTGCAGAAATGGCACGTGATCTTGCCCCAGAAGTAGAAAGATTGCTTCAGTTTAGAGATCCAAATATTCGTAAAAAAGTAAGTGCGGGGATTTTGCGATCGCGATCAGTTGGGCTTAGTTTTTATTTATGTTTTCATTTTTATGTTTATTCATGCACAACAGGTTGTGACCTGTTTAAGTTGTTGAAAAATATGTTCTTTGGTTCATCTCACTCTAAATATTTAGCTTTTTCTAGTTAGAAATTCAGAATAGCTCAGTTAAAAAAATATGAATGTGTTGGTATTTCATTTAGATATATGCAAACACGAACTGATTCGGTGTACTAAAATGTGATAATTTTGTTTTCTGCCCATCTCCCTCTTTTGTTGATGCAAGCTAATTTGACTGAAGTTATATCAAGATTTTGTTGCTTTCCATGTCTCCAAGACAGTGCAAACTGCCATTGTCTAAGTATTACCTTCAAGAAAGTATGTTACTCTTGTTAGAACTTTAGGAGGAAAGATAAAGGATGTAAATGGAAACTGAATACTTCTTTACACCATTCACCTGTACTTTTCCTTATGTTTAAAATTCTAAATGGTCACAACAACTATTGTATGTACTCAAATGTTGGTGTTGATGCAGGCTGCATTATGCTCTATAAGGATTGTGAAGAAAGTTCCAGATCTCGCTGAAAATTTTATAAACCCTGCAGCCTCCTTACTGAAAGAGAAGCATCATGGAGTTCTAATAACTGGTATCCAGCTATGTACAGATCTGTGTAAAGTCAGCACGCAGGCTCTTGAACATTTTAGAAAGGCAAGTAAATAATAAACATCTTCAGGTGTCATGGGATATACAATTTCTAAATTTAGATTGTATTTGCAATTATTGTCCATGTATGTCTTTTGTTCAAGTGTATCTTCTGCATGGACGATGATCACTCACAATCCTATCCAGTTTTTTATTTTGAACTTAAACCCTTCACGGTTATTTATGAAGTAGAATATGGCATTGGTCTACTGACATAAAACTGTACGAAGTGATTTTTTTTATATCAAAAGAATATAAGTTTATAGTTTGATGATACTTGCAATAGTTGAGCTATGAGCAATTAGTGATAGCACAATTAATGCATCGTTTACAAGGTAATCAAAGCTTAGATGCTTTCCCATACATGTAAAGATAAGTAAAACCTCATATAAGAATGTTTGCAATTCAATTGACTGAAGTGCATGTGCTTGTTACTTTATGCATGTACTCATTCACATATACATATTGACACACATGTGTGTATGCATACACACACACACACACACACACACATGTATGTATGTATGTGTGTGTGTGTGTGTATATATCATATGTTATTATGGGAACATTAGTTCAAGAAGTCTGGTACTTTGAGATGGCAACCAATTGGGGTTTATTAAGAAGTTATTGAGGATGGGAGCCTTGTGAGGAAAGGTCACTTCTTACTCTCTTAGCATAGTTGTCATGACATCGTTTAGGCAGTATGGCATTCCACTGCAGATCCCACGCCAGAGGCCTCACCCGAATTTACTATTTTTGTATGCTCTAGCATTTTGATGTTATAGGGACCAGCTTTTACTTCTAACTTATTTTTTTATTTGATGTTTTTGAGACATCATCACATTAGACTTTTGCAATGGTATTTTGGTCTTTATTAATGTCTCATGTAATTCTTAATTTAAGTTATGCATGCATGCAAATGTGTGTGTGTGTGTGTAATTTATTAATATTTCTCCATATTGTCGCATGGCAAGTGTGTAGTCGCTCTGGCGATGTCAAGGTCATTTGGCGCCTTGTCTTGTTGTCGTAACAACTATGTTTTAAAGTAAAAGTAGACTGAGCTTTTCTGCTTGCTATTTTTTTGGATGAATTTAAATCATATTTTTGTGAAATCATTGTCGCAATTTTCTGAAATAAATCAATATTTGGTTTATCCAGTAACTAAGAATAGACATACAGTTTCCTGAAGAGTTAGTATGCAGGCTTTACTTGAGCCAGTATATTTTACTTTTGCAGTGAATAATAATTTCAGTTTGACAAGCCCATTTAATGTTCACCTTTTTTTAATGGTTCTAGAAATGCACAGATGGTTTAGTCAAAGTTCTAAAGGACATTGTGAATAGTCCTTATGCACCTGAGTATGACATATCTGGGATAACAGATCCTTTTCTTCATATTCGATTGCTCGAGCTGTTGCGTGTCTTGGGACAAGGTGATGCTGATGCAAGTGATTCTATGAATGACATTTTGGCTCAGGTCAGTGGTCTTTTTTCTTCTTTTCATGGTATACATGTAACATTTGTGGTTCTGATTGATTTTCGTACCAACATGTTAAATATTTGGGGACTTCTCACTTTATCTTTTCATATAAAATGTGAAAGTTTAACCTCTAATGACGCTGGCAGTCATGCGGTGAATCATGAAATCCATAGAGTAAATTAAACAACACGATGAGACTAGACTCATTTGTTATGTGTTGATACTTCTATTAGATCTTCAAAATTTACTTCAAGGATGTAAACTTGCTTGGAGACCTCTTGGGTTGCCTAAGTTCACCTCTTGGGTTTATTGTAAGATAATTTAAATATTTACCATGAAAGGGCCGGGGGGGGGGTTCAATGTGATCCCGAGAGGTCATACTGTACAATGGTATATCACATGCCCCACGTGATTAAGAAATTACTGGTTCACTTCAATTGTTCAATTTATTCCATAAAAAGTAAGTTAAAAAGGCAAAGGCATGTCATGACCCCTCACACCGTCATACGGGGCCACCCCATTCTCATGAACAGAATTTTCAGTTTCTATCCTATTAAGTTGGAAGTCTTAACTACACAAGTATTTGAGCACTCTCACAGCCCCTATGATATTTCTTGACTTCCAAATTGTGATCGAAATTACCCCTAAACACATTCAAATAAATTCCTTTTAATCTCTGAAGGTTCATAAGATATATCAAAGTCACAAACAATCTAGTAGACTTGAGTTTTTCTAGGTCTAGACCTGAGATGCTAATATGCTCCTTTGTATTATGATACTCTGGTGCTTGCTTTCATTGATATACTACATTTTTGCTAGGTAGCTACGAAAACTGAATCCAACAAGAACGCGGGCAATGCCATCTTGTATGGGTGTGTTGCAACAATTATGAGCATTGAAGATAATGGTGGATTACGTGTTCTTGGCATCAATATCCTGGGGAGATTTTTATCCAACCGTGACAATAATATAAGGTTATCTTCATTAATTTTAATGTAATTTGCTAGCATGAGAGTATGTTTGGCTTGATGTTAACTCTTTTGGTTGGTAAAACATACTCCGTCCGTCCCAATCAGTTTGTCCACTTTTCTTTTTTGGGCTTTCCCAATCAGTCCACTTTCCATATATGGTAAAGAAATGTATACTAACGTTACTGTCTTACCCCTACCTTTTCAAACTTAATGCTCCCAACTTATTCGACCAAAAGAAATACTCCCTCCGTCCCACAAAAAAGTTCTCATTTTGAATAGTATTTAGTCAAATTTTTACATGCTTTGACTACAAATTGTAAGAAAGGTATATTGAATTATAAAATAAACGTAATATAATTGGATTCATCTTAGGATCTAGTTTTGATATCTCAAATTTTTTTAGCATTTCTTTATTAAGATTATATTTAATTTATGGTCAAAGCGTGTAACTGTTTGACCAAAAATACATCAAAATGGGAACTTTTTTGTGGGACGGAGGGAGTATAATATTGTTATTCCCCCTCCTTGGTCTTTGTGCCAGAAACAAACTGTACAAGATGATTGGGACAGAGGGAGTATGTAGTTCTTGCTTTTTGTTTGCCAATCTCACAGAGTTCCAAATAATCTCAGATATGTGGCACTGAACATGCTGATGCAAGCAGTTACGGTGGATAGTCAAGCAGTGCAGAGGCATCGAGCTACAATTTTAGAATGTGTGAAGGTACCATATGGTTGTAGTTTGGCCATTATTTTATATAAGCATGTCTTTTCCTTTACAGATATTTGTTTTTCTTTATTTTATTAGATTCCCATTAGAAAAATATATCATATCTTAGCAATATTGTAGTTTGATGGTAAGTTGCTTTTCTTCTAGGGGTATTGTAGGCTTTTACGCATAGGTTTTATAGGCAATGACAATTATATCTAGTCACATTCCTAGAGACAGTCAGATGGTCTTTTTCTTTTGTTTCAGTATGTTTTACGCAGTTCCAATTCAATGAAAACTGAATTTTATGGTGATATCAATTTTGATTTCTAACGAGATGTATGCTTGCATATGTTGTGTGCATGTCCTCTATATATCATTACATGGGTGTCCTCTATTTTGTTCTCATGTAGACATTTGTAGACGCTATAGAGAAATAATTGTGCAATTGATCCTAAGAAGATGGGATGGGTTAATGCTCACTGTTGTTGCAAGGTGGGGTATTGGGGGTGGGTGGGTGGGTATGCGTGTTGACCATTTATGTTTCACTTCTACTGATTTTTAGCAGTTACTTTCTGTTTTCCTTCCACGTGCATACTTACATTAGAACTTCATGCATTGAATTTTTCTCAGGATTCAGACCCTTCAATTCGCAAAAGGGCCCTTGACCTCGTTTATCTTCTAATCAATGAAAGCAACGTAAAGCCTTTGACCAAGGAACTTATTGAATATCTGGAAGTGAGTGACCCAGATTTTAGGGGAGATCTTACTACCAAAATTTGCTCCATAGTGGAAAAGTAAGTGGTTAGACAGTCTTTCTACATATTTTATCTCGTGCAAAATTACAAAGTGCATGTTTGTGACAAATCTTGCCCTTCTGATCCTTTCATTTCTTTAAACTTATTTTGAAATGCATTCCTTACTACTACAATATGCTGATACAGGTTTTACCCGGATAAAATTTGGTACATCGATCAGATGCTCAAGGTTCTATCTGAGGTATGCAAATGTACACTGTACTCTGGACTGGAGTGTTTGCCCGGCATGTCTAGCTTTTTTCATGACATAATGAGATTATTAAATTGAGTTACTCAATTCCATTAAATAAAAAAAATATGTATGTGATTACATGTTTGCCGGTGGAGCTAAATGAGTCATTTTGATTCTAAGTTTCTATAAAGTTTTGGGAAGCAAATGCAGCAAGGCTTCAAGGGTTTAACAGAAACAGCCTCTTTGTTTTTTACAGGGGTAAGGTTGCGTACATCTTGACAACCCCAACATAGTTGAGATTATACTTGGTTTGTTGTTTTTGTCTTTGTTGTGATTACATGATATCTCGTGTTTGTTGATGACTTGATATTGCACCTTTGTCCTCTTTTACCTTTTTTTCTGGCCTCATATAATATAGGGTGCTGTTTATATTTTGTAGGCTGGAAGTTATGTTAAGGATGAAGTTTGGCATGCCCTTATAGTTTTGATTACCAATGCTCCCAACCTCCATGGATATGCTGTACGGTCTTTATATGGAGCGTTGCGAACTGCAGGAGAACAGGTGCTTTCTTTATTGTTGTAAAAGCTGAAAGTAATGTGTACGTTTCTGCAAGTGCATTTCCCAGGTCATAATGCCACACTAAACTGTTTCATTGTGTTTTTCCAGGAAAGTCTTGTCCGAGTTGCAGTTTGGTGCATTGGAGAATATGGAGAAATGTTGGTTGCAAATAAAGGAATGCTTGATATAGAATTGCCTGCTACTGTGAGTTCATAGTCTTGTGTGTATTCTTAGTTGTAGTGTACAGTTGCATATTATTTGGTCTCTACATTTAGCAAGAACTTGCCTTGTGTTTAGAGTAAATCTGGCAATGGGGATTCTGTTTCTGCATAGCCTGTTCTCTGTCAATGGGATTGGCAACTGTAGAATGTAGGAGCACTATCTTGTTCTCTTTTTTGCTGCGATAAGCTCAAATAACCTTACAAATTGAAAATCAACTGTCTTGAATTGAAACCCTAAATTTCTCCCTTTTCCGTTGAATCAACTGTCATAACATTGCTTTATTTGTGTGCATTAAATTATGAACGTGAATGATTTGTTCTGTCTCCGTGAACTAAAACTATTTTCAAAAGGAAGAAACATCCAAAAAGAATTTTGGTGGGTGTTTTATATACTCCCTCCATCCATAAATAAAGTTCCCATTGCACGTTACGATGTTTGAATGAAGTTATTTTCAAATCATTCTATATGAAAAATGGCATGGAATTTAAACATAAAAAATTGCATATTTAAAAACTACATGAAAAGATTTACAAAACTAGGGGTGACATTACTATATTTCATCAAATAGGACACGAAAATAGGCCAACCAAGTGAATAAAGTTTGTTCCTGTGAATAGTTTATGGGAACGGGAGTATTTATTTTGCGAGGGTGAGGGGTGGGAGTGGGGATCATGACCCAGTTTCTAATGAGTCAATTTCAGTTCGGACAGGTATTTTTGGCTAAGACCGGAGCAGTAGCATACTTTTCAGTCCATTACTTGAGCGAGTGAAAAGCATCTTTCTCCAACAGTTCCTTCTCGTAGTTTGCTGCAAATATAAAATAACTGAACCTGCCTATTGACGTGAATTATAGTGTCACAAACTTTAGTTTTGAACTTGCTTTCAACCTTTAAGGATACCCTCTACCGCTCTTTATTATTTGCAGAACTCTGCCAAAATATCTTTAACATCTTTGCATTTAATGCATCCCTATTTTCTTCAGCATGTTTAGTGAAATTGTTTGTGGCAGGTAACTGAATCTGATGCAGTTGATGTTGTATTGACTGCACTCACAAGCCATTCTGCTGACCTCACTACTCGAGCCATGTCTCTGATTGCTTTATTGAAGCTTTCAAATCGTTTTCCATCTTGTTCTCAGTATGTTAATTATCTGAATTGTTATTTATACTTCAATAGACTTGGTTCATTTTATGTATAAACTTCTGTCAAGTTGGACTGGTCATATGCAACCAGTTTTGAAAAACCAATTTTGATCAAGTTGATTACTTCTAACCTATGTTTTTATTAATTTCTGAGCTCACTCTTGTATAAACTTCTGTCAAGTTGGACTGGTCATATGCAACCAGTTTTGAAAAACCAATTTTGATCAAGTTGATTACTTCTAACCTATGTTTTTATTAATTTCTGAGCTCACTCTTGTATAAACTTCTGTCAAGTTGGACTGGTCATATGCAACCAGTTTTGAAAAACCAATTTTGATCAAGTTGATTACTTCTAACCTATGTTTTTATTAATTTCTGAGCTCACTCTTGTATAAACTTCTGTCAAGTTGGACTGGTCATATGCAACCAGTTTTGAAAAACCAATTTTGATCAAGTTGATTACTTCTAACCTATGTTTTTATTAATTTCTGAGCTCACTCTTGTGAACCATTCTCTTTATCTGTCTCTTATCCTATTCGCTTTTTTCTTCAGATCAATTTCATGATTTCATTTCGAAATATATTTTAAATATAATTTTGAGTAACCCTTTGGCTCTATAGCATCATTTAGTCAGCTTTAAAGAATCAAAGATCAATTGTCCTAGAAACAATGACCAAGAAAATAGAGCATGCTTATAACATAAGTTTAATCCGAAAAATTGCAGAGCAGTGGCCTGAAGCTTATAGTGTCGTTTAGTTGTCTAATACTGAACATTTAGTTCCCTAGTACACAACATCTGTCAACAGTATAAGATCACAGACAAAAGCATATTACCAAAATTTTACTCAATCCGTCCTAAAATTTGTATTCCTACTTTCCTATTTGCGTTGTCCCAAAATTTTCTTCCACTTTCTTTTAAGGAAAAATTGTGCAGTTCATATTTTTTGAGTTCTTTCTCTTTGCTCTACACAAACCACAACCACCAAGTTCTACTTCATTAAATATCGTGCCAATCCCATACACAAAGATGATTATGGGATGGAAGGAGTAGTTGCCGTCTGTGTCTATTATCAAAGAATGATGAGAAAAATTATAAAACAGTCGTCATCACATAGTTTTTCCCCATTTGCTTGGAGAATACTATAAAATGGTGCTGATTTGAGAGTGATGTCATGTTTAACAATATAACTCTTTATAGTCTGTTTATGTTCCTGTAATTGCATATTTAATGTTTATTTGTTTTTGTAGGAAGATTAATGACATTATAACTCAATATAAGGGAAGTTTTGTGCTTGAACTTCAACAGAGAGCGATTGAGTTCAATTCTATTATTTCGAAGCACCAGAAAATAAGGTATTCTTGAATTTCTTTGGAAGGATGCTCTTTATTTGAGCTGGTATTTTTTGACTTCACCTGAGAATCCTATTGATTGAATTTCAGGCCTATATTATTAGAAAGGATGCCAGTCCTAGACGAAGCAACCTTTAGTGGAAGGAGGGCTGGTTCTGTGGCAGCAACTGTCTCCACTTCACAAGGACCATCTGCTAAAGTTCCAAATGGGCTTGACAAACCAGTTTCTGCTCCTCTTGTGGATTTACTTGATCTTAGTTCAGATGATGCTAAAGCACCTAGCTCTTTTGGTGGGGATTTTCTTCAAGACCTCCTTGGAATTGATTTGTCACCAGCTGCTGCTCAACCAGGTCTGTTTTGTAAGGGCATTCTTGGTTTGGGACGAGGTGTGTGTGTGTGTTTACACACACACACATACATATATATGGTATGGTATGATTGGATATGTTTTTGTTTGGAAAAAGGAAGAAATGTGACTTAAGCCATAGATCCTGCTGCCCACTTCAGCGGTCAGTAGGACAAAATTATTTACAATTCTAATTTCCTTTCAGGTTTAAATCATGTAGAAAAAAGTGGGACCGATGTTCTGCTGGATCTCCTGTCAATTGGAACATCTCCAGTTCAAGACAGTAGTAGTCCATCTACACCTCAGCTCCCAACCACTAAAAGTTCATTAGACCTATTAGATAGGTTGTCTTCACCTTCTGCACCTTTGGCACGAACTTCATCACCTGCTGGAAGTTCTATGATGATGGACTTGTTGGATGGGATCCCTCAAAGTCCCACTACCGGTATAGTCTTCACCGGTGTCTGAACTTAAGTTGGAAACTTTTTTAATTCTCATATGTTGATAACCTTGGGTGTATGTTGCAGAAAGCAGTGGTCCCAAATTTCCGAAAATTGTTGCATTTGAGAGCACTTCTTTGAAATTAACTTTTAACTTCTCAAAGAAGCCAGAGAATCCTCAAACAACGCTGATTGAGGCTAATTTTACAAACAAGTCGCAAAATGTATTCACTGACTTCATTTTCCAGGCTGCAGTCCCAAAGGTAAGGCCATGCAGGACGAACCTTTGTTAGCATGTACTGTGTCATTTTATTTGATTGTATGTGGTGCAGTTTATGTCATTTAATGTTAGGACTTCATTTTATTTTCCATTCTCTATCCTGGATAGTTTCTAAAAACTTTTCTGATACATCGATGAATGTTGCTTGTATTGAAAAATGGATTCACAACATTTCGATCATTGAAGGATTTAAATGTGTTGCAAACTGAGCATTTTCTCTGTATCTTAACGACATCAATGCTACTTCAGTCGATTATATTAACTCATGTGTTCTGTCTATTCAGCTGCATGCACCTCTTCAATTATGTATTATATTATCTTGTGTGTGTGTGTGTGGAATGTACAGTTTCTTCAACTGCATTTGGATCCAGCCAGCAGCAACACACTGCCTGCTATTGACAATGGATCAGTTACCCAGAATTTAAGAGTCACAAACAGCCAGCATGGCAAGGTATCGTATGTGTATATCTTGTGTTCTTTTTCATTTTCATATACCTCGCACTCAATATCCTGCATTGTTAGATGGAATTTTCCCTAAAGTTTTCAATATCATGTAATTGTTTTTGTTATTCTATGGTTTGATGATTGCACTGCTCCAATCTTGGTAGTAGGTTATACTGTTATAATTTTCAAGGCCATCATTTATGTTCTTTTAAAGAGCTATGGTGTTGCTTGGTAAGACGTAATGAAATATAATCAAAAGTATGTAATGTAAATTTACACTAGAATTATATTTGATTACATTAAATTACGTGTTTTTACAGTTGACCAAACTATGCCTATGATTTAAGGAATTTATGAGCCAGCAGATTCTCATCATGTACAACAATTATTGTAAAAAGTGTCGCTGTGTTAGGCACCCATTGGATGGGAGATCAGGGCCTAGTGCTTTGGCAAGGAGTCGCTAGGGTTATGTGGGGGACCTACATGGTAAAAAACATAGGCAGTCACATGGACAACCTAGTTCTTTGGCGGGATATTTTTATGACATCGATGTCCAGTTACATATATTTCAAGCATGCATTTATTCATCTCTACCATGTTGGTAGTATCTCATACGGAGTAATACTATCTAATTGATAACCACATAATGTCTACTTATCTGTGTTCAGAAATCCCTTGTTATGCGGGTAAGGATATGTTATAAGGTGAATGGCAAGGATGTTTTGGAAGAAGGACAGATCAACAACTTCCCACATGGGTTGTAATGAGAATTCGTTTCCGTCACTGTAGAAACGTACCTGTTCGCCATTTCATAAATTTCTTGTGCAATTTTTTAAAATTGTTTTGCTCAGCGTAATGCGGCTTGTGCTGGTTTGGTTGTTAGATCATGGAGTTTTCCCCGGAGATTACATGTATACCAGTCGAAGTATTTACTAGGAACATTTTTTGTTCAATATATCTCACCTAAAAAAGAAATCACGGGCCTTTTATGTATTTTTTTGTTTAAACAATTTACGAGTGTTGTTATATTTGCCAGATATGAAAGGAATTCTGGTTTCATGAAGAATTGTACTATCGGGTCGTTTGGGAAGAATTCTGTAATTATTATTAGAGCTTTGAATTTTTTTAATGGTGATGGTTACTGTTTAAAACATGGTCGGTGGAATTCGAAAGCTAAGGAGAATGGGAGATTTTCCTTGCATTTCATCACCAAAACGGATATTTTTTTTGTCGGTGGAATTCGAATGGTGATGGTTACTGTTTAAAACGTGGTCGGTGGAATTCGGTTGGATAATTTTTTGAAAAGCTAAACTGAACTCTAATGCCAAAGCCAAATGATGCTATAGTTTCATTTGGTTGAGTTTGGTGCAAGTTTTGATATTGCAGCAATGGTGTACTTACGTCAACTCTTCTAGCTTTTTCAATTCTTTATAATCATTCTTTCTATTCCTTTCACGTTTTTCCATTTTTTTCAAAATTTTTCCACTTTCTGTTTTTTTAAAGCTTTTCAGTTCTTCAACCTCTTCCAATGTTTTTCTTTTTCTTCCAAAAAATAACTAGAAAGTTATTGAAAAAAATTGAAATAGGATGAAAACATAAAAATAAAATCTAAATAAGACTAATTTTTACACTGGAAGCTCAAATTACCCTTGGCTTTCATGCTAACCTACAGTATGTCCATCATTACGCTAATTATTCGAACTTGAAATTTGGACTCGGGTACCCCCAAAAATAAAAAAAAAACACCGACCTCTTGAATAGATGAAACCTCCCTGTAGCTGGAGAGAGAAATAGGCTCTATTCACTAAAGTGTAGAGGGTAAATTTTGGAGACGAAGTAGAAGGAAGTGATTTACATCTGATTGAGCGAAACTTGGTGAGATGATGGTGTTAGAATGTGTGGCCAACATTTGGGAGGGGGGGGGGGAGTGAATAGCCTTTATGAACGATTAAAAAATTGCAGGAATAAATTGAAGCGTAAGAGCGAAAGTAAAGACGATGAAGTAAATAGTTAAGGAAGGAACACATCGATGTAAGTTCACAACAATTTGTAGAACTTAACTAACCACTTCCATTAAGTTTAAGAGTGCTTAATAAATTGTTTACAACGTACCGAAGAAAAGTACCTTTCCCTCGACCAAACCAATGAAACAACCTTCACTCAAAGTGTTTACAACACTAAAGCACTCAAGAACAAAAAATTTCTCAAAGAGTAGAATATGAGTAAACTAGTAACTACAATAACACACTTAATTTTTCAAAAAAATGGCTCTTAGAAGTTATGGACAATATGTGCATTGATGCAATGTAAAGTTATGAATTGGTTGAATAATTGTGTTAAAATGGACTCAAAAGACCTCTATTTATACCCAAAAACTCATGCCAAAGGATGGGAGAAGAGTGAGTTGATTGGTGTTGATTTGATCCAATTAGATCAAGGCTGGTCTGCTGAAAATAGCCTAAACATCGATCTTGGGATCCCAACATCAATGTTCCCATACTTTACTTTCCTTTACAAAGCTAAAGGAGTCGTTGGGTTTGCTAACGGTCATGAGAACATCGATGTTTAACACCCAACATCAACGTTCTTTAGATTGACTTTCAAATCAGGAAAGGATCTGGTCTTAAATGAAAGCCAACGGTCACAAGGAACATCGATGTTCCACAACCAACATCGATGTCTAAGGCCCTGTTTGGCATCAGCTTCAGAGATTTGCGTTAGCGTTTTGAAAAAGCTATCCGACGGTAGCCTTTAGCGTTAGCGTTTTCAGAATTAATATGCACCGTTAAAATTTTATCCAAAATGCTAACGCTAATCGAAAACGCTGTTACCAAACGAAGCCTAAAACATACTAGAAAGCCAAGAGGTAGAAAAAGCAAAAAACCATCAATTACCAATAGGCAATTGTGATAGTCAATGTTTGGCCAGGTTTGAGATTTAAAAGCCAAGTTTCAAAAACCAAGACCAAGTACCAATTTTAAAAAAACGCGGATGGTTTGAAGTTCAAAAACCAAAGTTAAGAAATTAAGATTGGTCACTGAACACCGATTATCAACAATGATATTTGATGTTTTGTGGGTTTTAGGGTAAAAACCCAAATTTGAAAAACAAAGCTAAACAAGGCTTAAAAACCAAGTACGAGAAGTAGAGAACCAAAAACCAAAATCCAAAACCTAAAGACAAAAAACTGGATGAAATTGATTTCCACATGTGGGTTTTGATATTTGACTTAGTTTTTCGAAAACCTGACCAGGTCTAAGGTTTAAGTCAGAAGCCAACGCCTAACACCCAAAAGTCAAAAACCAAAAACCAAAAGTTTTAAACCAAAAATCGTGCTGAACATAGATTACCACAAGTGGTATTCGATGTTTGGCTGGTTTTTAGAGAACCTGATCAGGGTGCGAGCCAAGACTAAAAAATAACTACCCAAAATATTTTGTGGGTTTTGAGAAACACGTTAGAGCCAAGACTTGAGAAATTGTATGGACTTATTTACAATTAAATTCTAAAACTCTTGTCTTCGTTTTAAATCTTCGCCTCTCTCTTGCTTTTTATTTCTTCAATGAACTCTTGCCATCACTTTTGAATGGTTTCACTTCATTCCACATTTATGGTGATTTGTCAATATGAAATAAATATTGGCAATAGAAAAATGTCAAATTTTGCATTGCCACTAATTTCCTATTGGGACATTTTGTCACAATATGTTTTTTTTTCATGCAATAATTAATGACATATTTTTACTTTTGGGTTAGAAGTTGAGGGTATATTTGAAGGACTACTTTGTGTTATTTTGAAATGTTGTTTTGCTACTTTCAATAAATCTTTGGTAGTATCAAGTCCAATTCGTTCTTTTGTTAGTTTTGAAGTTTGATTATCACAAGCATTCATTGACTTTAGCTTTCATAAAAATGTCCATAGCTCTTCTCTTAGCTTTGTCCCTTTCTTTTATCGAAATCTCAATTTTTCTCTGAAGTTCTTTGTTTTGGCCTTGAAGCTTCTCGAGATTGGTTTTTAAACTTTATGTTCATCTCGAGAGGCTTAGAGAGATGCCTTAAGTTTTTTTTCCTGTATAGTTCGAAAAAGGTTCTCTTGGCATTCATCAAATGCTTGCCTCTCATACTCAAAAGTAAATTCATTATCTAAGGAGGTACACGAGTTTCGTGAAGTTACCTCGTCTTCGTCATTGGATGCCATGGCAAGTGTTTGAATTTTCTTCATTACTTTGCTTGCTTTCACTTGCATCTGAGTTGAGATCATCCCATGTGACCTTCAAGGCTTTCTTCTTCCCTTTTTTTGAATTCCTCCTTCCTTTTTAGATTTGGACATTCGAGTTTGATATGTCCTACATTACCACACTCATAACAAGTGATTTGATTAGTTTTACCTTTCTTTGGGAGGAATTTCTTGGAAGATTCACCCTTGTTCCATTTCATGAACTTTTTGTATCTTTTGAACATGGCTATCTCCTCGTCACTCTCACTTTCTCCTTTGGAGTGGTCATCAACTTTGAGAGCCATCGTCTTTTTTTACGATTGGAGCATGTTCTTCATTCTTCATTTTCTATGAAAGAAGTTTGTGAGAGTATAGGCTACTCTAAACGGTGGAAGTTTCAACATCCGCACATTTTGCTAACAAATTCAAAACTAGACTATGCAAATCTCTAGGTAGTGAAAAGATAATTTTTGTATTAATCTCACTCTTGGGGAAAATCTTATTTAGCTTACTCAATTTCTTGATGATAAGGTTGAAGCGTTTGTTCATGTCTTGGATGGATTCTCTGGCATTCATCTTGAAGTTCTCGTACTCGGACGTTCCAAAAGCTATTTTGGTAGCTTTAGTGTCCTTGTCTCTTTCATGAGTTGCTTCAAGTAGCTCCAAAGCTTCCTTGGTGGATTTGGAAAATCTTACTCTAGCAAACACAGCCTGACCAAAAGCACAAAACAAAACGTTTAATGCTTTGGTGTTTAGGGAGAGTTTCATCAGGTGTTAGCTTGTCCATTGGGGTAGGTACCTATACATCATTTACTGTTGCGATAAGTACAAAAGGATCATTAGTGGTTACAATCCATAAGTCAAAATCTATGGATTGAATGAAGTTCTCTATACGCATTTTCGAATAACCATAGTTATCTCCATTGAAGAGTGATGGTTTGGTAATGCTTTGAGAGTTCATTGAATCCATTTGTTTCGTGAAAAGTTTTCAAAAATGGTTTTGAAAATAGGTTTAAAATCCCGCTTCGATACCAATTGATATTTGGTAACACCCTAAGAGTGGGGTTAGGGTGTTTGAAAGCTTTTCGCAACACAAAAACTCTAGAGGAAAGATAAGCGAAAAAAGAGCAAGGAAAAGAAAGAGAAATGAAAAGAACAATGAAAGAGATTTATGACTGGTTTAGAAACTCCCTACTACAGTATCTCAAGGCTCCTTCTCAATAATTTAACCTCCACTAACTTGTTTTGTTGGACATGAGTTCAAACCCCTTTTGGACATTCTGTAATATTATATTTCAGGTTTTGATAAATGGAAAACGGAACGATGAAATCAAAATGAAGATCGAAAATTTACTTTTCGAATCGAAAAAGCAAAGAGAGAAATTTACAATGCTCAATTTCAATGCTCACCCCTACGCAGAATTTTTTCAAGTGAAGTGAAAATTCCGAAAACTTTTTAAATTTTATTGAGTCTAGGACCAATTGTAAGGATGACAAATATTTTTCACTTAAACAAATTAATTTTTTAGGGATAAAATATAATTTGTTGAGTCAGTTGAAAAACAAACTTTTCTGTATAAAAATATTTTATTGGGTCAGTTACAAAAAGGTGTGTCAAAATTTCTTAAAACAATTTTTTAGATACACAAATTTTTGTGGTTAAGAAAAATATACTTTAAACATTTTTCGTGTACTTCGTTTGACACACAAAATATTTGGGTCTCAATTTCTACACCAAATATTCATCTCACAATTCAAAATTGTTTTTGAATTATATTTGTTAGAATATGGGAGCCTCTTATCCCTGATTTCATGTTGGACACAAACCCAAAATGCCAATTTGTACTCTCCACTCACACACATGCTTGTGTTCTTCATGTT